AGTCAAAATTATTACCTAGTCCAACTTTGTATTCAGGAACAAATATTCTAAAATTAATGTAGATCATATTTCGTATGGAAGCCATTCAGTCATCACTCTAAATATTGGTTGTAAAGTCTATGTCTGTTTGGGAACATGCAAATTAGACTTTAAAAGAACTGTTGAAGAATTTATCTTCCAGTTTTGTGAAACAAACAAAAATCAGAAGAAGGGTGTATAAGACCCTTTTATTCAAACATAAAATTAACAAATGGCCCAACTTTGATTACAAGAAGCCAAGCACTTCTGGCTTAACAGAGTAACATAACAACGAACAATTTCATGGTGTAGTAGATTACGTGTAGTAGATTCAACGGCTCGCGGAATACTTGAACGCGCAGGAAGAGCTCTATTTCATGGAGGTAGGAAGTAAGATGGGGTGGCCCTAACCGGTTTCCCCAATACCCTGCTCTGAAGCACTGGCGATCGCTACGTGGTGACCTAAACATTGCGGAATTTACTATTAACTTGAATGGGTTTTGACACGATCGGATGTAAATATTTTGTAATTACGTCGAAAATATACATATAAATGTATATATTTTCTTTTTCTGCAGTACTTCAGAGTCCTAAGTACATAAAAAGAATACCTTTTTAAACAACATTTCATTCTGAACGGAATTAAATGCTATACTTTTCACAGAACAGTTTGCTCAGAATGGTTTAATTTGAATGAAATATTTTCACAAGTTTTCGTTAATTACATTAGGAAAAAAAATTAGATCATTCGATTTTATTCGGTTAAGGATTACAAAAATTAAGATCAAAGTTTATTGTATTATTTAATATTAAAATTATGCATTATTTCTTTCTATTTATAGAGCTTCTTCCTAAAATACCTTCTCAAATATGACATGATTTTTAGCTTTTGAAGCATCTTTTAAATCGAAAAATATAAGTCAATTTAAAATTAATGCTCTATTCGGTCCATTTCAAATTAGAGCACCTTTTATTTTAATAGCGAAATACTTTAAATAGTACTTAACTTTCTCTGAATATTTCTGAAAGGGAATAAAATAAGGATCTTTTAAAAATATTATTTAAAACTTGTAACTGAGTTATTATATGATGTAAGGGGAATAATTCTTTTAATTATACTTATCAGACTTTTTTACACTTAAGTTCAACAATACATATTCCAAAACTCTTCTTTAGTACTTTCTTAAGTACGCATCTCATGGAATTTGCTTTACAATACCTTTTAACAGATTGCTTTCCAGTACAAACAATTCTTGCTTAAATAGTTTTATAACGTATTTGTCAACAGGATTTCAATTTATGTTTACAATTCAATGCTAAGTTTATTATATATTTAAATAATATTTATAATCATTATAAAATTAGATACATTATTTAATAATTAGATTTCTTAACTTTCACTTGTTTATGAATGAATAAATCCTTCATTCCAAATACATTTATAAATAATTTAATAAATATTTACGTATTTTGTTAAAGGCAGATACATGCTTTTTGCAAGTACATGCATAAATACCCATACATATTTCATATTTTTCATTTCAGGCATGTGCAAATCTTTAATTTCTGTGCATTCACTATATTTTTCGCGTAAAGTAATTTACACTAATTTAACATATACCCGAAAGTTTTACATAAGAACTATGTATAAATATTATTTGAATGAAAATTATATGTATTATTTTTAATACCCACTCAAAAGTAAGTTTTTCTTCAAAATTCCTCCACGATGGCATCTCTCCCTTTAGGCAGATAGCCCTTGCATGCCTTACTCTATTTAATAAAAACTTAACCTGACCTATGTGCCTAATTACAAATATTTTAACATGCATAATTTTATATTTACATTTAGCCATCAGGTTTCAAACTTTTGACTTAAAACACGTTTTAGGATACATTCATCATCAAATTCAAATCTTCTAGTAAATGTATTTTGACAGAGCAATCAATACCTCTTTTATCGATTTTACACAGTTTAATATTTCTCTGGTAATATAATAAATAATAATAACTAAATGAAACGTGTAAGCCCAAAGTGATTGTTTTTCAGATATATAAAAATAAAATGACGAGTTTAAAATGAGCAAGAGTAAAGCTTCTCCTCTAAAAAATTTTAAAAAGTACATGCTACAATAATATGTGGATGTGGAAAAAAATTATTTTGTTTAAAACATTTTGGCGTTTGAAACATAGAATAAAAGTAGCGAATACCCTATCAAGGGTATCGAAAGATGTATACAATTATAAAGGTACCGTAGGGTATTTTTCATTCTTTAAGAATCACATTTTTGCTAAAATCTATATTTTTGTAGTTCAACAGCTTAGAATTTTATAAAATACATAATCAAAATCGCTGTTGTTATTTATCGAAAAATAACCAAGATGTGATTTTTGCGTAAATGTCACTAAACTATACAAATTGCTATTATCTATCACACTAATGAATGTTTCTTTCATGCGAAAGTATCCCGTTTTTCTATTTGTATGGAACTGTCGTTTGTCGAAATACTATCAGAGCACTGTCAAGCGAGTTTCTGAATGTAAGCAAAAGACACCCCATCTAGCGACCGAAGCTTTGAAGCAGTGTTACACTTCTAGTGTCAGTTTGACCACTCCTTCCTTTCTTACCTCCATGCTCTGTTTTGTAGTAAACCAGCGGAACAATGCTTAATAGCTAGAATACTCAACGCCGCTAACGCAAGTCGCTAAATAAGTCGCAACGTGGCCTGGAATAAGCAGAGACGCTCTAAAACTAACTTCTGAAACTCTTACTATAGAAGTTCATTCTACCTTAATCTGAATAAACTCTCGCTCTCTCATTTAAATTCTGGCATGAAAAGCGTGGGTGAAAAGAGAATAATAGGAAAATGCTAAATTAAAATTAACTATTAGTTAGAAATAAATAGATAAACCTCACATGGTAATTAAAAATTATGAACTGGATCTAGTTGTTTGAATACCGAAAGGATTTCGAGTAGTTCCTCTGCAGAATAGACGAATGATTATATTTCTTATATTTCTTCATGAGCTTTCTTTAATCTAAAAATGTTTCCAACGGCCAAACGTGCGGTTTTTCCGAGGCTGCAGATTCAAGGAAAAGTTAGGACCGTCAGATACTTCCCAGATTATTAACAGTCTGCCTTTAGTGACAATTACCTTATTAGTTTTATGAACACAGGCATAAACGTTTTCAGTTTTGTTAGTCGGTACTTATCTAGTATAATCCAAAATAAAAGGGATCTTGGCAACTGATCCCAAAATCAGTGATAATGTAATATTAGACGAAGGTTATTAATTTTATGTTGCGCTAATTCTCACTAGAATGTTTGTCATTTAGAATACAGTGATGGCCAAAATCTGATGTATGTCCTTATCTCTCAAAGGAAAGGATAATAATCCTCCTAAAAAAATTCAAATATGTAATACAAACTGATTATTTGCCTAAACTTCTGATCGCAGGTCAGTAATTTGGGTTTCCACCTCGGGGTAACTTACCTCATATAAAGTAGATGTGAAATGATATTTTCCTCTCTTTCCATTTCTGATTCAGTTTCACATTCAGAAATCATCTTGTTGTGCAGCCCTTCAGCTCATCAAGGGAGCATGTTAACGATTTATCATTTTATGCAGACAATTTACAGGCAGTTTGGGAAAGCTTCAGGCTCTCAGTGACTCGTTATGATCTTTATATCCTAATGGTCTTTATGATGTACAGTAGGTTCCGCTTTATGTGATCGGGGTTAGTATTATTATTCGGATATTATTTTCGAATTGACGAAGTCCCGCCCATCTGTATACGAAAAAATTGAAAATTACATCGCTTATTGTGATCAATAAGTCTGTTAATATAATCAAAATATTAAAGAAGGAAATTTTTAAACCGAAGTAAATTTTCCAAATTATCCCCAAAGAAGATCTGATAAAGGTCTGATAGAACACAGTAACTTCCAAATGACACGGAAATGTTGCTATGTAGGGAAGTCACCAAATACCTTGATTTTGATTCAAGTCAACCCTGTGCAAAGAACCTGCTTTTCAAATTTTAGGAAAATCGACTGGATTAACCAATTAATGAAGCTGAATTCTAGATGAGCTTGCGTTTTCGTGAAAAAAATTTCTTTGCTGTGTTTAAGATTTTAATTAATGTTCTATTCTTGGAAGCGTTCACTTTTTAGATGTGTTAAGCCATTTATGTCATGGTGATTAACAAAAGGCATGATGATGTGATTTTAAAGTCGACTTGTTAGGTTATTTCGACCAGCTCCCAGAAATGAGTCAACTGAACGCTGTACTTAATTTAAATGTTTCTCAGCTCTTCTTTTGCAAGATTTTAAAGAATCGTTAAGATATTATTTACAAATAAAAGAAAAATCGAATTGTAGACATGAAACGGATGCTAGGAGAAAGTTCACAATGTTGAGAAAGTACTACAGGTTTGGGTTTCAGAAATTCGTGAAAAAGATTTGGAAATAAACGGTTCATTGATGCAGCAAAGAGTTGAAGAATTAGCTGTAAAAAATTAGGGTTATTAATTAATTACGATTACGGGTGCAACAGGGGGGAAATAATTTTCTGAATCATAATGAACAGTTCATAAATGACCTTTTGAGTAACAGCTGCAGACAATCCACTATTAATATTTTTTTCTCTTATTAAAATGTCTTGAAGGCGTTTATATGATTCTAGCTGCACTTATATTCATTGATATTTTGAAGGATATTTTTTTTGTATCGTTTAATGTTATTAGTAGGTTCATGATATCAAAGCAGTAGTGGACAGACGTAACCACATTATGTATCGCCTACTGTATTTCCTGACAAAATCTCACAAATACATAGACATTTCAGAAAGGGAAGATTTTACCCTAGTTGGTTCATAATGTCCCCTCTAGTTATTCCTAGCTTATTATAAAATTCAGTATTATGCGTGTGAGAACTCTTGCCATATTTAGGATTTCATATAGAAATATTTCTTTAATACAGAGCTCGTTTCCGGAATCATCGCACTATCTTCAATTCACCTCATCCTCGTCTCATGCATATAAAACTGGGTAAGAAGAAAGGTCGAAGGAGGGCCAGTCATACTAGCCTAGAAGTTCCTGGATCAAGGCAGCTAAGTATCTGCTCTCAGCTCTCGCCTTTGCAATCGCGAAGAGGTAAGAATAATTTAGATATGTTTGATTAGAGTATATAGAATTTCTCGTATTTCATTGTGCTTTCTAATACTAGAAACAGATTAAACTTATTATAATTCGTACTAAAAAGGAGTGTGCCATTAATTATGAAAATATACTGATAAAGAAATGGCAAAACATCAGGGTTAAAAATTGCAAGAAATTATTGTAGGTACTTATACGTTATCGCAATCACCTTAGCAGAACTGCCCAAATTTTCAGGTCTGCATGTGTAACATATACACCATTTTCCCTTAGAAAGTCCTTCACGAAAGTATCCTTCCCCTTAAGATATCCCTCCTCTCCGCAGATAGCCCTCGAGCGTTTTGCCAGAGCTAACTAAACCAAAAAACCAACCACATTTTCACCATGTGCCAAACTCTAGAACCCAGGTGCATAACGATTCATCAGGCAAGCATGCTCATAGCGATTCTTAAGTCAAGCAATGTCGCTATTTTTGAATGCGTCCTTTTTGTTGTATTCCAATGGTTTTTATAAACGAATCGTGATATTTCATGCTTTAAACTTATTTTTAAAATATGGGCTTGGGGAATTTGCCAGTAATGGAAGAAACTGCGGTAAAATTTTTTCAAGAATACAGAATTTTGAGGCAAAATCTCTAAAGGTAACAACGAGGAGACGCGTTTAGTAGATAGCGGATGTTACCGGAGTTTGCGCGATGCCATATCTCTGCAATTCTCTAATTTGTTTTAAAGTGTAAACAGATCGCTGCGCATTTGGAGAGAACAATAGCACGAAAAATTACAGAAAGGTTTGGAGAAAAAATGTGTTTTATTTGTTAATGTTGTAGAGTCCAGGTGGGTTAACTTCTATCTGTATATTGGAGTAGCAAGAAGCTACACAGGAGAAGGGTTCACATACCCTTTATTAGGTCTTTAAAATTTACAATGCGTTAACTCAACGCTAACAAACTTCGCCTCTACTTGGGCGGTAAATGAAAGTCAGATAATTGAAACTAAAAATTGAAATATTAACAAGTGATAAAAGTAGCTTACAGTGCTCAGCGAGCTTCAACCGAACTTCAACCTCCCTCTAAACTAGTGGCAGCAAAGCAATGCAATTAAGCCAATCAGCAATAAGCAAACGTACGTACGGCAGAGACGGCAGCTAGAGTCTTAACTCTTTCTTCTATCGAAACTCGGCTTTTAACTAATTCCTTCCAAATAGAAAATTTACATTCGTTGACGCGCGCTACAACATTTAACTATTCTGGCACTGACAATTAGGGGAATGAAGGCTTATAGAAAGTTTCGAATAAAACTTTAAATTATTAGTTAAAATAAAAATAAATCCCTACAAAGTATCACATAATACTTATTAATAATTAAAATTTGCTGTTTTGCCAACTTACAATAAGGAAGGTCGAAGGAGGGCCAGTCATCGATAGTTTAGGAATCTTAAAAGAAATTCACGAAAATCACCAAATTAATCTCGATATGTAACTTTTACCTTTTCATCTGTAAAAGATCGCCAAATTGCGTCAAGGTGGTTGCGTTAATACGAAAAATACCTTCGTTTATTAGTAACATATGAAAAAAAGTTAATCATCAATAGTTAATTTAAGGTGACCTTCAAACCTAAATAATTAATTTTAGAGGCAAAAATATCACCCCCTTGTAAAAAATGCGCTATTCTTCTATTTGCGGGTGAACACAGTAGAGTAAAGACATGGTGGTGGTGACTACTGATAGAGGGAGGGGACACCTGATATTTAACACAGGTAAACAGGTTTATGTCCCACGCCTCTCCTATCCCCAGCAACACTTCCCAGGGGAAACAAGAGTGCCACTTCCGGAGTTTATGTTATTTTGAGCAGAAGTTTTGCACAGCTAAAGGTTTTTATATTGGTTATAATGGTACTTGTGATACAGAGTGGCATCTTTGGCTTGCTCATTATATTATAAAACATAATATATGTACATGTACCTTAAAACTAAGCATAACATGCAATGTGTACTTATAAAATGAACGTACAATATTAGTTGATAGTTTTTACACACATAACTTACAACATATACATGAATATAAACATATAACATAAAAGTATAAACGTGAAGAAATGTAAAAAAAGGATATATCTATATATAGAGTACTGCTTTGTCATGATTGCATTGCTGTTCTATATTGCACCGCTATTAGCCCATGATATAAAGTTTTTAACAATTTTAGAATGTTCCTAAGTTTATTAGTTATTCAGGTTAACTTGTGATTATTTTAATTTGGCTTGGCTGACACACATGTTGCCCTATCGCTGTTATTATGTTGATACATCTACAAATTTTATTAATTGCCACATGATTTTTTATTACAAATTTTTTAAAAATCTCTATCGTAGTTGGTAGTTTGGCTTAAAGGATTTGAGTCTGTCAATAGGCAGTGGAAGATATAGTGTTTTGGGCCCCTTCAATTCCACAAACGCAGGTGTTTGTTTCTGAGAGGTTGAACATATGGGAATATGCAGGAAATGGACTATGAGCTGTCATAAATTGTGTTAACAGTGAAATGTCTGTAAGACATTCAGCTGAAACTTTTGGCATAAAGTCATACTTTCCTGTTCCTGCTGCACCGTGATTCCATTCATTTTGCCATTTTTGGACTGCTTTTTCCAAGTTTTCCAGTTTTTTTAGTGGGAGGGAGAAGCTGGCTAGTTGAATATAAAACCTTCTGTATTATGAGCTGCTTCTTTGGCTAGTTTGTTTGCTATTTCATTACATCTATTCCTGAGTATGCTTTCACACATTTTACATTTATATGCTTGTCTATTATTTTTTAGAAGTTGCTGAATGTTAATGATGATTGGTGAAGTATGCTGGTGATCGGAGAACTCTAAAAGTAAGGATCCTGCTGTCGGTGTATGTATAGCTACATTCCATTTATTCCAAGACTATTACATTTTGTATAGCTTCTTGCATTGCAAGCGCTTCCGCTTGAATAACACTGTTATAATATGCCATATGTCCTTTCCAGTTATATATTTGCTTCTGATTTTTAAACACCCAAATGCACTTCCGACCCCCTTACTTGTTTTTGAGCCATCCGTATAAATAATAGTGTTTTACTTGTGAGATGAAAGGTCTCCATTCTTCATCAGTTTGGAAATGCACACATATGCCTTTGAAGCCTGAATGGATTTGAAGGATGTTTCCTTGGTAATCATACGTACGTAATTGGACTGTTTATGGTGTCTTCAAACGTTGCGTTCCTCCGCAATTGGATAACTTTGGAGTAAACAGCCTCTTGATCTGCATGAATGTGGATGGGACTCAGACATGCAAGGATACGTGCAGCGTCATTTGGTGGGATTTTTATAGGCCCTGCATAGGTTTAATGCGAACAGTCGCTGAAGAATGAATAGGTTTTTAATTTTTCTTGCTCCCAATGGATGCCGCAAATAATATTATTTTTCTACTACTACAAAGTATAATAAGTTTTGTAGATGTGGAGTTTGTCCCCAGTTATTTCCTTGAAAATTTCGTGCAGTATTGGCAAACATGTTTGTTTTGGTACATAATTCTTAAATATGCGGGATTCCGGCTAGTCCTTATTCCATGCTATAAGGAGGTATTTTAAGCTTCGGCCTATTTTGATATTTCTTCCTTGAAGTTTGATACAGGGTAGTCTCGTAGGATTTATGCATGGTATAGGATAACTAGAGCAGCAGGCTCATGTGTGGATATTTTAAGCTTCAAACTGTGACAGAATTTTTAAAATGGGATGCAGACAGTAGTATCGTCCAGGTTTTCTAATTCTTCTCGAGTTCATCCTCTAACTAGGAGGACCTCATTATCGGAATAAACTAATATGGGGGAGTAATTCTGACCAGTTAAACTTCCAGCACTGAGATTAAAGTTCCACAGGAGATGGCTCGCACAGAAACGCTGTGGGCAGCATCTTCTTGGACTTTAGTAGCTATGTCGCTGTTGTGAGCGATAATCAGTGAGCGATCTGTTACATCCAATGTGCTCTGTAAAACTGTGTAAATGAGCGCTGTGTGCATGTTTCAGCTTCTGTTAAGGGGGCTCATACACCTTAAAACCCTTATGATCTTCGAATATGTGACTGTTGCAAGAATTGGGATATTTTATTTATTTTTAAAGCAATTACTTCCAACTTTTTACAGCTGACTACATAATATAGCTGCTTTAGAAACTAGTAACTAGAAAGTGTGTGTTGCCACAAATAGTTTTGTAATTTAATCCGCTTTGTGACAAAAGTTTCGTCATGTTTCCACCTTGCGCGCATGATATTTTAAAATGGCTAATGGTACTACTTGAAATTAGAGGAATTCTTATATGGGCACTATTTTCACTGACCAAAATCTGATGAATATTTTAATGTGAAAAATTTTATGGACGAAAACATTACAGTTTTTTAATAAAATACTTTTATAAACTCGACTCCAAATAAAATAAAAATTAACATGAATTTTTTAGAATTTGGTTCACAGTAGTTTCTTAATGTTATAAAAGCATATATTAAATATGGACTTAAATTATGCGACAGAATATTTTAAACTGTGCGCTCAAGGTGGAAAATGACGAAAAATGTTGTCACAAGCGGTTAAATTTATAAAAATATTGTTGCAACACAAGCGTTCTGATGACTTTTCAGAAAGCAGCTATATTATGTAGTCAGCTGTAAAAAGTTGAAGTAATTGCTTTTAAATTAAATAAGTTATCCCAATTCTTTCAACAGTCACCTATTCGAAGATCTTATGGGTTTTAAGGTGTATGAGTCCCCTTAAGCTGAATTTGCTTACGTATTTCCTCTAAAGCATGCATATCTGATAATACAGTACGAAATCCAAATTATTCTGGACTGCTAATATTATTGCTATAAAGGTGGTGTTTCGGAGGTTAATAAGAAGCTTTTCACAGATTTTTGCCGAGTGTCGGAAGAAGTCTGATAGAACGAGAGCTTCGATCTTGAGGATCCTTATGTTTAAGAAACAAAACTGCTTGTCCACTTTTGAATGATCTGGGAAATATTTGATGTTGCATGAGCTTATTAAACTATTTGAGAATGTAAACTGGGCTTGCTATTTAGGCAATTTTATAACAGGATAACCCAGCCGATCTGGTTCTGGGACCTTTTTTTGCATGGAAGCGTTCCAAAAACGTGTTTGATTTCCTTATCCATGAGGCTCTTTTTACGTTGATGGAATTATGGTATTCTCTTGGACAAGTCTTTGGGCTGGGGTGTTTTGAAATGGATTTTCTTCCGGGAAAACTATATTTAAAATGGTGTTCGCTGTGTTTTTCCCATGGCTTACACAATCATCTGAAGCTATAGGATGTATATAAATTTGTTTGGGGTGTAAACCTTTGTGTTATGCTATTTTATGTCGGATGCCCTAGGGATTAGTACTGCGTGTTCAGAAGTTCCTCCAGCTAATGGTGTTTGCTGTGAGTATGTATGTTTTGTATTTGGCATGTTGTCTTCAGAATACAGTTAGATAATGGTGCATTTAGTATCGTCCTGTGCAATTCTTATTCGTCTTGGTAGTGCTCTACATTTCTGCCTGTGTTGACGAAGCTCCTTCGACCACCAAGATACACCTTAAGGTTTTTCCTTAAGGTTTTTGACTGTCTGAGCAGAAAGAAGTTGTTCAGAGTCTGACTGTAGGATTTCTTAGAAGATGATCATTATGCGTTTCCATATCTCCCAGACAATTGCACTGGTTAAGTAAATTTTCTTCGTTCGGTAAGATATATCTCATCTTGTTAAAAGATGTATTTTTCTGCTTGAAAATTTATATCTTCTGAGCATCCTTGTAGTAGTTTTCTAATGCATATTGAAATAAATGTACTTATGATCTGAAAAGGACTCGTCATTTCTTACTTTCCGGTCTTGGATAAGATGTGCAGTGTTATTGTCTGATAGTGCCAAATCTGGCCAGCATTTGCTCTAATACTTTTCCATACACTCTTTCAAAATATCGCAATTTTCATAAAAGACATTAAGTTAATCAGTTATTCAAACATGTCAAACCTATCTATTCGAAAACTAAGAATAAAAATTTTCAGTTAAAATATATTTAACAAATTCTGAGTAAATTTCAATTCGTGCACTTAATTACTCATAAGTCATAATTAAGTCATAAGAGGTAAGAACCATATATTAAACTCAAAGGTGAAAAATAGGAAACAATGCCAGCTGAGAACCGTTCAGATAGGTTTCTGTCTTTATTCTATCGTTTTCCAATAAATTCTCCCACCAGTGGTCAATCAATAATACGGTTGAACACTAGTAATTTGTCTTGAGCTCAAATCCAGGTTGAATGGGCGGGCTGTATAGGAGGTTTCGGTATTACTCTCATGTTTCTTTTGACTTTCTTTTGACTAACATCGGCAGAATGTTACCAGCCAGTTTCTATTAAAAAGTCCTCCACGTAAGCATCCCTCTCTTCAGGCAGATAACCTTCGACTGCTTTGCCGTAATCCAAACTCAAACATAAAAATCCTATTATTTCGCCCCTAGCGGTCGAACGTTTAAATCGCCGAACGCTCGGTTCATATCTCGGCAAATGAATTGACTGTATGACAGGTTTAGTAGCTTTCCTGATTCCTGTAGAGAAATGTTCGGCAAGTATTGTTCTGTAACAGAAATGATCCCAAATGTTCTGTCTTCAGCCATTTCATAAGTTTCATAATTTATATTTAGGTAGTCAAGCCACAAGCCCAGAATTTTGCCAAAAACCTCGGAGGTCGAACGCTGAGAAGAGTGAACTTGCATCGCATGGTCGAAAGACAGCTAAAACGGTAATATCCTTTAAATTCATTATAAGCATTTCATTATACTATTTTACTAAAAATTAAGAAGTAGCATTGAAATAAAAGATAAGTCATTCGATAGAACACATGATAATTTGAAAAAACGCGGCTAGAGTGGCTCGCATGTGTAAAAATTGTCTAAAATATAGTTGTAGTATGAAATATTTTTTTTTCATTTGCTATTCTCTTATTAATTTTTTCTATTTTAACAAATATTCTCATATGATTTAGGTATAGTTAGATATAGTAAGTAAATTGTTACCAGATATACCCAGGATTAACTTCAGTACCAAAAGAAGCGAGAAAGAGAGGTTGATTTTTGCTACATGAAAAATTCTGCCTTAGATCCTTAACAAATCTTATTACTGCAGCAAAAAATCGTGGTGTAAAAGATAAAAGTCACATATAGACGGTTAATTAGAGAAGGCGAGTCAGAAGCATAGCTACAAGTATGAAATGAATGCAGAATGTTACTGTATGTTGTTGTAATGAAGGAAACTCCAAACGGTATATGTTTTCCGAAATTTAATTTTTTTGATTTCAAATCAGAGACGCATTCCATTAGACTGCGTCATTAGATAAAATTTGTCTCTCAATATGGAGCAGCCAGTTACAGTCTGTAGAGTTGGTGACTGGCGAAATGATTAGGAAGCTATGAGACTGGTGAGGGGTGATTTTAATGGAACACTCCTTCCATCGATTACAGGAAAGTGCAGATAACGATTGTTTACTACAAGAAACAAACATAAAAGAAACTCGCTTAAATGGCTTAATTTTAAATGGACTCGCTTTACAAGGAATGAAGCTGTAATGCTTGGAAGAATGCGCATTGCTCATCGTTTAGAAGAATTGATTTCCGAAGTGATTAAGCGCGTAGTCATATTTTTGACTGGCTTTGTAGATATATGTAATGCCCTCCAGCTGAGCCATCGGTACAAGTTCGTCGGCTTAAAAGAAATAAGGCATCAGTAGACAGAATGCATGCATCGAGAAAAGGAGCGAATAATTATATAAATTTTAGGTATTTAACGGTAAGAAAGCAACAAATACTGATCGAAGGATTTGAATGCAGTATTGGAGAATGCTGTATTTGTTATGAGCAGGACCTTCAAGGAACCGTTCACTGGCAACACTTTCAGAAAAGGGAATGAGATGAAGAGGCAGTGCATCAGTGGTTACGCAGTCAATTATAGAGGAGACTCTTATAAAATGTAGGAATTATGGAAACTTTGACGCAAATGTGTATAGTAGGGACTATATAAAAAATAATAACGATTTTTCAAATCCTATTTATACATATTCTGTTAGTGAAAATACTTTAAGTATATATCTTGGTTCTCCCTCTCTAATACTGCTTAAAATGCAACTTTTAAATAAATCACACTTTAATTACATTTCCTTGATATCCACATTTCATTCATGATTTGTTAAGTTTTTTAAAAAATTTCAATAAATAATTTAATGAATTAAGTAAGAAATTAAATGATTTAATTCAACGATTATTTAATTTAATTAAAAATAGTAAATATCTCAATTTCAATAATTCATTTTGCATAAAAATTTAATTATATAAAATTTTAGGAACTTTTTAATTATTTGAATTTAAATAAAAGAAGCTTTGAAAAATATCTTTTATCTTTGTATGTGTTTCTTCGGGCTACTATATTTTACTACAAATTTACGCTTGAAAAGAAATTAATTTGTTGCTTGAACCTTGAAAAGAATTATTGAAGAGTTATTCACTCTTCCAATATTAAATTTCTCATCTGAGTTAGAAAGAACATTCAATAATATTAGTAACATTGCAGAAAATAAATAGCTGTGAAAAAACTGATTTCTTCCCCGACCTTCATAGCAGCTGTCCTTTTCGCTGGTTAAATAATGCACGAACAGTATTCCAACTAATAAACTTAAAGCCAAATTTAACATTTAAAATTAAAATAAAACAGAAATTATTTCAGAATGTAAGAATGCAAGCAAAAGGATCCAAAGCTTTCACTCCATGCCTAGCCAACAGAAGTAACGGTGACAGGAAGTTTGAATGTGGTAGAAATAGTTGTAATATTTATATAATAATCATGCAAAAAGTGAAGCTGTGCTGTGGTTAGAAATTCCGTGTCTTCCGGATTAGCTAAATTAAATTTAATTTGTGCAATAAATGTGTTATTTTTGATAGCCAGCTATTATAATCTGCGGAAAAACACTACGACAGCTCTGAATTGTTTTTTTTTTTTTTTTTTTTTTTTTTTTTTTTTTTTTTTTTTTTTTTTTTTTTTTTTTTTTTTTTTTTTTTTTTTTTTTTTTTTTTTTTTTTGGCTCCATGCACCCCTTTGGCGATTGCTAGACGATCGTTTCTCCCCTTTTCAAAATGAAAAATACCATACATTTATTTTAACTTCGATGATATTTTTAATGTGTTTTATAAATAAATTCAAGAAAAAGTATAGAAAATGTTCATAAATACCAAAACTTGAATAAGAGAAGGTTTTATATTCATAAATTAAAACTGAATACTTAATAAATAAATAAAAAAGCTGTCTGCATTCTTCTTTGAAATTATGAAATTCCACACCCCAGGGAAGAATCCCCATTTGGGTGAGAACCTCCTACTTCGATGCAAAGCCAGTAATGTTAGTATGAATACTTCACTCCACCGGACTGCGCAAAGCTAAAAGATAATAAATCGGCTCATTTGAGTTTAGTTTCAGATTTGTATGTGCATATGTATACAAAAGGTAAACATCGTGTTATAGCAGCCTAAACCGTTTAAGCTATTTCTGTTATAAATACTTGTGAAAAAAATATACAGAACAAATTTATTAAACTGTTAGACAGACTTCGAATATATTTTTTGTATTGGCTTGGTAATAAAGCTAATTTGTATGTTATAATTAATTAGCATATCAATAATCATGTCAATTTCTTGATGATACTTGTTTAAGTTACTAGTATTTTATTAATTCTTATTGGCTTGATTAATAATACTAAGCTGATCCAAAAAGTTAGTGCCGTTAGCGCATATCTCTCGCTCATCTGACCGCACGAAGGTGGCGCATGCACGTAGTTACATTGTTCAACTCGAAAACGAATTACCCTAGTCATTTTGTTTGTTTACATTAATGTTTAAGGTCATTGTTTGTTGGTAATAACGTTTAAAACAATCAATCGGACCGCTAGCTGGGAAATAAGAGCCATTATCAAGTTTTTGAATGCGAGAAATATTCGAACGTAAAATTTATCGTCAAATAAGTGAAACGTATGAAAAGAACGCGATGAGTGAAGGTATGGTGCGAAAATGGGTTAGGATGTTTAACGAAGGAAGGAAAAATGTGCATGACGAGGACGCCATCGTCGATTACAGAAGAACTGGTGCGCTGCATCGACAAAAAAGTTCCTTCCAACAGGCGTTTTATGATTTTTGATTTATCACTGCATTTTCAAAAACTTCACGATCTTTATTGCACGAAACCGGAACTAAATATTTGCACTACGAAAAACTGTGTTCGCGATGGCTACCGAAAACATTAAACGGAAAGGCATGGCAGCAGCCTTGGAGTTTTGGCGGCGTTATGCTATAGATAGAAATGATGTTTTTAAAAGGCCTGCCACAGGCGATCGATGTAACATGGATTTGTTACTAGACACCTGAAACGAAACAGCATGGTTCCCTGAAACCCAAGAAAGCAAAGCTACCTCTTTCTTCATGAAGAAACACGTGTGCCGTGTTTTGGAACTGTTGTAGCGAACGCCTGCCTGAACTTCTATTTTATCCTGCAAAGTTTTGTTTCCTCTGTGTCCGAGGAAAACAAAATCTGGAGGCGGAAGGAGTTAGTCTGTAAAGAACGCTCCTGAACTCTACTAGAAAGACCTATGATGCTCTTGACTAGAGAGAACGTCGTTAGCAAACTCCTCACACTACGAGTACTATAATTCATTTTAACACCTTATGTAAAGAACTGTGAATGGCAACGACTTAACTGACTAATACGCATGCGTAAAGAGATGAGATTTCTGTCGGACGCCTGTCAGTGAGAGAAGAGTTTTGGGAAGCTCCGCCAGCGAGCTGAGGTGTGGAGACTTTGTTTATCGAGTGATGACGAGTACCATCTTCGTTAACGTCTCTGATTGTGTCACCAGCTCGGATATCTACTAAAGTTTTCTAAATGTATTAATGTTGTATCTGTGATATGTTGTGTTATTAAAAAGTGATGCATCACCACTATCAGTGTTGATTCCGTTCCCACTGAATCATCCACGACGTCACAGACTAAGAGAATAAAAAAAAAATTTGGAGGTTCCACCACCGAGATTTGTGTGACAAGAGACCAGGTATGTGTTCTCCACAAATATTCATTTCCAGGCCTGAAGTGTATAATGTAGTTTTTATTTACTTATTCGGGAAATCAATTCCCAAGCAGAAGTAGCACATCAGTGCATAAGAGTTTTAAACACTCAATGTGTTTGGTTTATAGTATATCTAACAATATTTTCCTTTTGTGGTATATTCGGGAAAACATTTTCCCATTAACACGTAGCACATCAGTGCATTTTATAGCACGTCAGTGCATAGAGTTTTTTTAAAACAATCAAAGTGTTGCATTTATATATCTAACGAGATATTTTTCCTTTGTATGATAATGGCGAAAATCCATTCCCGTAAATAAACAGCACACATCAGTGTATTTATGTTTAAACGTTTCGTTATAAATTGGTGTGATAGAATCTGAACTGTTTATTTTGTGTATATGTGAAAGCACATCAGTGCAATATTGCAATTTTCATTTCTAAGTCATTAGAAGAAAATTATGTTAAATTCTTGTGAAAGAATAAGTTTGTTGAAGATATTAAAAACTTGTTACTTTGGTTTTTCTCATGAAAGCACACACCAGTGCTGTATTTTAATATGATGTGTTTTTTCGGATAAGTAGAATGTTAAATTTTATCATTTCATTGTATAAAAATTAAAGCTTGTAGCAGTAAAGAAAATG